AGATTGCTTGAGCTCAGGAGTTCAAGAATAGCCTGAGCAACAGCAAGACCCTCATCTCTAAAAATAGCCAGGCATTGTGGCAGGCACCTGTTGTCCCAGCTAGTTGAGAGGCTGTGGCAAGAGGACTGCTTGGGCCCAAGTGTTTAAGATTGCTGTGAGCTGTGATGCTACGGAACTCTACAGAGGGCAACATAGTGAGACACTGTCTCAAAAAAAAAAAGAAGTTAATTGACAATATTAACAAGCTGTCTAGCAGTCAAAGAAAGAAAAAAACTCTAAAATATTAACAAGCAATGTTACCACATGAAAAGTTTGGAAGCTGAAAAATTTGATTTATGTATTTTCTTCCTCTTATCATTATCTGCATTTAGTACTGAATACATATCCTAAAATACATAATAAATGACTATACCGACTGCTATACTGACTGGATAACTCAGAATTACTACAAGAGCTGCCTTTAAAAAACAACTGTCACAGTGTAAACACACCACACAGAACTTGGGAGATTTTACAGAACTTATGTAGAAAAAAAAAGAGCTGTGGAAAATAATTTAATGCTGAGTTGTTTTTTTTTTTTTTCTTTTTTTTTGAGACAGAGTCTCACTTTGTTGCCTCTGGTAGAGTGCTGTGGTATCATAGCTCACAGCAACCTCTAACTCTTGGGCTCAAGCGATTCTCTTGCTTCAGCTGGGACTACAGACACTCACCACAATGCCTGGCTATTTTTAAGAGATGGGGTCTTGGTCTTGCTTTAGCTCAGGCTGGTCTCAAACTTGTGAGCTCAGACAATCTGCCTGCCTCAGCCACCCAAAGTGTTGGGATTATAGGCGTGAGCCACTATGTCCTAATTTAATGCTGTTAATGTGATAGCAGACCTATAGAGCCTAGGACTCCTTTACTAATAAATACTTCTCTTTGTACTATGTAAATATTTTAAATTTACTTTGTGAAGCTACTAGAAATTCTATCAGTTATAGATCCATTTAAGTAATAGGCACCCTCTTTTATATGTAATAATCTTGGATGGGACTTCTGGAATGGTGGAGTTAAGTTCCTTTAAAAAGCTGATATCCGGCTTGGCACCTGTGGCTCAAACGGCTAAGGTGCCAGCCACATACACCTGAGCTGGCAGGTTCGAATCCAGCCTGGGCCTGCCAAACAACAATGATGGCTACAACCAAAGAATAGCCGGGCGTTGTGGGGGGTGCCTGTAGCCCCAGCTACAGGGAGGCAGAGGCAGGAGACTCGCTTGAGCCCAGGAGTTGGAGGTTGCTGTGAGCTGTGATGCCACAGCACTCTACCCAGGGTGACAGCTTGAGGCT